TGGTAAGTGGTCACAGTGGGTGGAACCCAAGCCAAGTGGTGACTCGAAAGGGCGAGGGAAATGTCACCCACCCACCTCTCACACTATTTCTAGACACAGTAGAACTGTCTCTTTCCTCTTATTTGTTTTTAGACTACCTGCAGATGCATGGGCTCTGACTCTGGCCAGACAGGACCAAATTTGTCACTGTCTGGGCAATAATGGTGAGGCAAGAGGGGACACTTAGTATGATGTCCCAACAAAGAACTCTGCCAGCAACTTAACCACTCTGGCCTGGGAAGCTACATGACTTCTGGTGCAGCATCCATGCCTGAGGTCCCTAGGCCCAGAAGTTTCTTTGAGACTTTAACCAAAGAAGGGCTAGCACCAACTCAGGGGGAGTAGCAGAGAGCCCCATGAATCAGGATCCTGGCTTTACTTTTATTATGAAGGGTAATCACTAAAATAAAGTCTTCTGTATTTATGTCATGTACCAGCACCCAAAAGTATTAGTTCCTGCCAGAAATAACCATGCTGAGGAAATTCAAACCTATTTTCATTTATCTAAGAGCTCTGATGGCCTTAATCAAGATGGAAGGAACTCAGAGAGATCCTAAACTTCCCTTCAGCATAGGTGAGCACCTGGGCTGTTTTGTTAACTGGTGCTTACTAGCAGCCACTGGGATGATGTAACTGGTGTTTGCTCTTTAAGTGAAAAACAAAAAGCTCTTAACAAGACACTGTTTGTCCTCTGTTTCTTTGAGAAAGTGTATATAAATAATAAAGGTCCTCTTTTGAATACAGACCATAGAGAAAGCTGTGCTCAAGTGAATAAAAAAATATGAACAAGGATGCCCACCCATTGCACTGTTGATTGTCACAGCAAAAAAAAAAAAAAAATGAAAAGAACAAAATAAAAGGCCATTAGTAAGGGATTGAAATAAATTGCTGTTCACTCGACAGAACCCTGTACAATTTAAAATGCTAATTAGATGCACAAGTATCAATATGCACAGAACACATTGCATGATGGTAGTGAATAAAGTCAAGGAACGTCACAATCACTGAGATAATTTATTTGAAGTTTAAGCCTTTGCAAAACAATATTACACGTCACTTATGGACACATACACGTAGTACAAGTATCATCACATGGACTGAGGTCATGCCAGTGGTTTGCTTGTCTCTCGGGCAGGAGGAAAGGAGCAGGGCCGGGGAGGGGACAGAGGTGACTTCTGCCTTCTTGGCAATGTTTTATTTCTTATGACAACATGTGTTCATTTTGGAGGGTGGATCCAATTGTGTTTTGTAGTATCTTCCTACTTCCTGTAATTTTTTAATTATAAAAAGTACAACCATCAGTATCCTCACTGATCTTGGCCATCAAGAAGGAGAAGGCAGGCCTGTGCAGAGCACACTGGTGGGCTGGTAGTGACCACGGGCTTCCAGGCCACTCAGCCCTACATTACAATCCCAATTCTCATCTTGCATCAGGGGACCTGGACCAGTCCTTCCACTTTCCTGTAATCTGCCTTCCCCCAGTGAAAATGCAGCTCACAGGTCCCACCCTGCTGGGTTGCTATAGGAAATAGACCCCGTAGCCCACAGTGTTCTGTATACCACAAGTGCTCAGAGAAACATTAGCTTTAGGAACTATGTTTGCAAGGGATGCCCAGAGGCATTCCAGACATTGGGGGGACGGGATGCCATGGAAGATAGGGTGGCTTTTCTAGGGAATTCCTGAACATTCAAGACTCCCTGTATCACAGACAGGAAGCCAAGGAGAAGTGGGCGCATTCCCCTGGCCACAGGAGTTGCAGGACACCCTTTTGCGCAGACAGGAGCTTGTAACCTTCCAAGTTCTCTTTCCTATGTGTACAAGGAGCTTAACTGGCAGAAAACCAGAACTCAGAATTAAGTTTCATACTATTAGAGTTAGTAGAGTAGGTAACCTAGTGGTGACCTCTAAAAACAAAATTAATTGAAAAACGAAAGGCCCTGGCCAAGAAATGAAGATCCGAAGCCCAGGAGGTCAGGAAATCTGTGTATATTTTACCCCAGCAGGTTTACAAGGTGGAAAACAAAACCCAAAGGAAGATGAGATCAGAGGGACTTGAGAGGAAAGGTTAGTGGCCCCAAGGTCTAGCATCTGCTGGTGTTGTCCCAATGAGTCTCAGCAACCCAGACACCACAACCACAGTCCAGCAGCTGGGCCACAGCCTATGCTGAGTGGGGCCGAGGGACGGTCCATGCCTGACCTTGGGTCTGGTGTTTCCAAGCAGCTGCTCTTCCCAGGACAACCTGGTCCTTGCTGAGTTCTGATTGCTGGGAAACCCAACCTCATAATGAGGAGCTCGTGAGCCCATCCCTGCCTTTTATTATCCCTCTTATCTTAGGGACAGTAACTGTACCTAAGTTATGGGGTACATGGGGTGGCGGGGCCTGATAGGGCCAGTGCACATAGCAGGGCACACATTCAGAAGGCTCAATCAAAGCCAACTCACCAAAGCTCTGTTCTCTGTTAGGAGAGGTCTGAGGCACCGAATCCAGCAGCCAGTATGGGTGCCAGGATGAGGAACCTGAGCCTGGGCAAATTTCTAGCTGTCTCCCCAAGGCCCCTCTTCCTGCATCTCTGTTCTCCACCTCCCTCCACTTTAAAGCAGGTGGCCACTGGCCACTGACCAGGTGAGAAGAATTTGCCTCGAATAATGTGGGTGGTGTGAGCACGAGGTCTGGGAGCTGTCGTGGTCCCTCCAGGGCACATGGGCTGAAGGCATGCTGAGGCCTTCACTTCTTGCGTCAGGAGAGCCCTGGGCCATCTGTACGGAGTGCTCTTGGGAGGCATTGGGGGAGCAGGACCCTGTTTCTGCATCAGTCATGTCTCCCCAAACTTGTAAGGCTAGACTTTGGACTTGTAAATTTCTTGGCTTCTTTTCCTGCCTGGTGTGCATTTTGTAAGGCCTTCGCATCACCAGTGTTCTGGTTGTGGTCAGACATTTTTTTCCTGTTTCTTGAATAAATGCTCCGAGAGTGGGATGGCTGGGTCTTTCCCATGGAGGGACAGTGTTATGAAAAGCCTGAGGGGTGCCATGTTTATCTTTTCTTCAATGCTTGCACGACCGGAGGCAGTGCAGGGGGTGGGGGTGGGGGGTGCACAGTAGGGAAAAGCAGTGGGGTCAGGGCAGAATGTCAGTGATCCCTGATGCCCTGGGGGTGCCCAGGGCTGTGGTCCCTGAGGTCTTAGATAACATGATCTCCCTCAACACCAGAATGCTCTTCTACCAACCTCATTTCTCCATAAGCAAGTGAGGGGATTGCAAGCTTCTTAGTAAATCTGAACCAACCGTGGAATAAATCTCCCAGATGCAATTTCTGAAATCAGAATGCTTGCTGTCACATCAGCATGAGTAAACATTTCATTTCTAATGTGCCACTAACATTTTTAGTAGGATATAGTTCTCACTTCTGAAGTTCTCCCAAAGGGAATACAGTCTTGGCAACTTGGCAGTGGGTATTAAGACCCTTTTAAAAAGTCCCAAAGAGACATGACAAGTAAGTGCATTGTGTGATCCTAAACTAGATCCTGTGTCAGAGGGAAAAAAGTGATAAAGGATGGCGTTGGGTCAATGATGTTAAGGTGTTACACCAATGTTAAATTTCCTGAAGTTGGTAGCTGCATATATTAAAAAATTATTTTAATTAGGAGATAAACACTGAAGCACTTTGGGGGAAGGGAACATGATATATGCAGTTTGCCCTCCAAGGGTTCAGAAAAACAAAGTGTGTGTGTGTGTGTGTGTGTGTGTGTGTGTATGTGTGTGTGTATGTGTGTGTATGTGTGTGTATGTGTGTGTGTATGTGTGTGTGTGTATGTGTGTATGTGTGTGTATGTGTGTATGTGTGTGTATGTGTGTGTGTGTATGTGTATGTGTGTGTATGTGTGTGTATGTGTGTGTGTATGTGTGTGTGTGTGTGTATGTGTGTGTGTATGTATGTGTGTGTGTGTGTGTGCACACACAGATGCAAATGATGGAGCAAATGGGGCAGAAAGGGAAACAAAACAGGGTTAAGGGTATGTCGATACTCTGTATGATTATCATTTTTATTTGCTTAAAATTAGTTTCAAATAAATTTTTTTAGAACAGAAAGCACTTTTTTGACTTAGTAATTATAATTCTAGGAACTTAATGTGGGAAAATAATCTGAGATGAAGATAAAGGTACATTGAAGGAGGTCACCAAAGTGCTATTTATATTGGTAAGACACTGGAAATAACCTAAAAGTCTAAGCATTGGGAATGTTTCCATGATTTAACTTGAAGGATGAGAAGGAGCCACCGGGCCCGGCCTAGAGGCATGATTAGAAGGGGTCAAGAGCAGACACGAGGCCCTGAGGCAGAAGTCCCTGTGGTGGTCCAGAGGAGAGACATGGAGGTTTGGCCTCCACTGGCGCCCAGAGAGAGGGACCCGTAGAGGCAGGCATGGTCTGGAAATGGGGGTGAAGGCGAAGTAGAGTCCAGAAGGACGCCCAAGGTTCTAGCTTGAGCAGCTGGGTGAGGAAAAAGAGGGCAGCCGTGCAGTAAAGGGCGAGAGACCGATAGCTGGGTTTTAGCTCTAATCAGCAGGGGTCAAACGGGCCATCAGATGTCTGAGTCCACCCCTTAGTCGTTGAGGAGTCAAGGTGGGACATACGAACTGATTTAGGATGAGAGGTTTTATTAATATTGTCAGGACTTTTAAAAACTACTTCAGCAATTACTGAATTAATGATCAGGTGGGCAATGAGACTGTGGGCACCCAGAGGGTCCCTACCCCCATGGAAGAGCATACAAGGGAGCCCCCCCCCGCACAGCACCCGTGCGTTGGCCCCCACCCCGCTGTCCTGGAGGCAGGCAGTTTGGGATAAGCAGGGGCTGCACCCTGGGCACGTCCAGCAGGGGTGTGGGTGCACCGGCTGGAGCACCTCCCTCCCCGCCAGCCCTGCTTCCCCAGGCCAACCAGCACCCCAGGAGACCAGCTCACCTGGGGGACTTCAGCACTTTGTGGAGCAGCTTCTGCGGGATTTTGCGGAAGTGGATCTGTGTCCCCACCAGAGGGACCAAGTTCATTTCCAGCCACTTCTCGCAGGCGGTGGTGAGCTCCTCCTCCTTGTACTGAGAACAAGAAAAGCCAAGTCGGTGAAGGAATCAATCCCTGGACTGTCAGCGCCCTCTTCTGGCCTGAGACGATGTTACCAGCGTGCGCCCGGGGATTCCAAAATACATCAGGGGCAGCTGATAATCATTTTCTGAGTGTTTGCTAAGCTTCAGGCACGTGCTACGTTGATTTAAATCAATCCTCACCGCAACCCTATGAGCTTGGTTCGTTACTATCTGTATTTTACTAATGGAGAAGCTGACGCTGAGGCTTCTCCATTAGTCCTGCGCTTTCCATTGGTCACACAACTAGGAAGTGTGGAGCTGAAAGGAAGCCCCAGAGATCTGACCACAGGGCTTGCTCGCTGAAATCTCTGGGCAAAATTCAGTGACTGGATCACAGATGGTTCCACGGGGTATATATAACCTGCGGGGAGTTCTCAGGCTAGTCTGGAGAAAGTGGACAAAGTCGCCTGGGCCCGGGGATCTTCACAGGGTCTCAGTACACTGCGCGTGTCCTCAGGGCCATAGTCCTTCCCAGGCTGAGTGGCTGAGAAATGCTGTCTGGAATGCAAAGACGCTGCCCATCGAGTAACGTTCCAATGACCGGCGGAGTGAAGGGGAGGTCACTGAGTTGTCTTTGACAAAACAGGCATTTAAAACATTCTTAGGCGCTATTATAAGAGCATTGTGACATGCTGACTGTGTGTGAACCGAACGTTAGTGTCAAACATGTCTGTTTCACGGTGTGAGTGTCCATCCAGGCCAGGGTGGCCTCACGGAGGGAGGCTGGAATTGGCAAGAGGCCTGGTCTTCAGACCCAGCCCTGAAGCTCAGAAGCCATGTCGCTCTGGCCAGGTTGCTCCCCTTCGCCAGCCTCAGTTTCTCCTCTGATAATGAAGTGTTAGATTACATCATTTATTCTCAACACTGACACACTGACCAGGCTCAGGGGAGACAGAATTTCACCCAACCCCAATGTCCTTGAAGGTTGGCTAATGTTTTGGTGAGAAAGGTTATGCTTTTTTTCTCCCCTAATTATACGGCTTTCTTTTTAAGTGTGAATGTCCTTTTAAAAATAAAAAGATTTTTAAATTTTTTCACTTGGCAAAATTAATTATTGGTACCCTTAAGTTGGTGCCTTTAGACAGATTTTTTTTTTGGAACAGAGACTAGTGTGTGAAATCCTAGAGTGTGGGGTGCTCCTGAAGGTCCCCAGGAGCGACGCACTCTGTCCAGTCTGTTCTCACCTTGCAGCCGGCCAGGTAAAAGTTCTTGATGGTGCTTGGAGTGAGTCCGCTCATCATCATGGCCACACACCTGCAGAGACAGAACCACTGTTGCCCTAGGCTGTTCTCAGAGAAGTTTTCTTTCTGTCCAGACCATTGCAGTGCTGCTAGAGGGGCCTCAAGTCCTGTTCATCTCTGATCAAAGAGCAACATTCTGAGGAAAATCTTGGCCCTTTCCCTTGAATAGGCGTCATCTACTTGGTCTGCGTACTCATTAAGGATCTATTTACTGAGCACATACAACTGGTGATGCTTTTGGGGTGCAAAGAACAAAACTGATGGGTCAGTGGGGCAATGTGCATTAAGTAAACAGACAGGTAATTTCACTATTACAGCTGTGTTAAGGGTTAAAAAGTTCAACACAAGGTGCTATGGGAACGTAGTAAGAGGGAACCTAACCTAGTGGAGGAGGATCAGAAAAGTGATGTTTAAAACCTGAAGGATAGAGAGATGGCCAGGCCAGGACCTGGGAGACCAGGATGCAGAGAGGAGGAAACAGCATGTACAAAGGCCCTGAGGCAGGAGCAGGTGCTGTACTTTGACAGAACCTCAAGGAGAGCACGGCTGCAATGCAATGAGGGAGGGCAAGACCAAGGTGGACGTGAGCTGGGTGGACAGGGCTGGTGGTGGGGATCACTAGGTGGATGGTGGGGCAATGAAAGTTTCAGTGAGTCGGCTTTCATAGCTGATGTTAATCTCTCTTCAGCACAGTTTTCTTAAGGCATGTTCACTTCATCAGAAAGGGCACCAGAAATAGCTACTGGGCTCCTACAGAGTTCATCTTGAACTCATTATCACTCAGCTGAGATACACTCAGCTCGTGGACAAAGGCTTACATGATATCTAGTAACTCTTGCGCATATTCTAAAATGTATTTTTAAAGCCAGATCAGCAGAGAGCGGGGGTGGGGGTGGGGGTAGGTGGGCTCATTAACACCACCAACCAACCACACCCCTGAACTTATTTTTACTGAGTTGCATTTTGGTGTGAAGCCTTTATTAACATTGAGAGAGAACATTATAAAATATTGTTGCACTTACTCCGTGGGTATTATTGAGGACATTGATCGTTATGTCACTCAATGTCATTTGATGAAGACACCCAGGGTTTTATTACCAAGAGTAGCTATGCTCCTCCCATTTCTTTTGTTTGTTTGTTTGCTTTTATTTAATTTCACTGATCAGGTTTCCCTTTTCATATTAGCTGCTAGGGAGCTCAGAGCCAAATGTGTGGCCCACCCATAGCAGATGGTCAGGTTGTTAATGCAAGTTCAGTCTCTTTGTCCTTGTTTTTCTTTCTTACACAGTTTTGTGCCCTGTTATTTATGTATTCTTTTAAGCCACCTAAAGCCTTTACTCAAACAAGGTAAGAAATGATGAATGCATAGTCTGGTCATGACCAAGGCACTTTACCTATCCTTTGGACCCTAGACTTGTCCTTTTACCACAGTGAGACTGGTCATGCTCATTAGGAGGGGTTGTCTGGAGTCCTGTGGAAATCTGTATGGGTGAGCACCAGCCTCTGCTGTCACCTCTAGGCACATGGGCTGGTGAGATTCCTCCTCTCTCCCTTCCTGCTTCCCCTGCCTAGTTCAAACCCTCCTCTTCCCCCACCTGGGCCTCCGCACAGGTCTCCCTGCCTCCATTAGCCCCGCATCCCCACGGCATCCTTCACACAGCAGCCTATGGGGGCTCAGCTAACAGCAGAGAGGGCCTTCTCTCCCCTCCCAAGCTGCAGGCTCTTTCCTCTGCTGACAGAACCAGCTGGAACCTGCTCACACAGCCTTTGATGTCCGCAGGGCCTGGGCTCACCCTAACCTCCTGCCTCACCTTTCCCGTTTCTTCCCATGTCCCTTCCCCATTCCAGCCACATTGGATCTTACTGGCCAAACATGTCCCAGTTTCAATGCTCCTCTGCCCAAAATCCCCTTCTCTCCCACCCTATGACAGCCAGAATCCTTCTGGGCTCAGCACAAAAACCACCTCCTCCTCTTGTGAGTCTCCTTGATTGCTTCTCTTCTTATGCCCCTTCGCTTTGATTTACAGGGCTTCCTTCTTCCTGTACCTCTGCCTTCTCCCACCACTCCCCCCATGAAATTACAGGCTGCCAGGAAGCAGCCCTCTCAGCATAAATCCATCTCTTGAGTACCTATTATGTGTGGGCCTCTGTGGCTGGCTCTGGAAATAACTGCTATAAAGAGACAATGCTCCTCTCCTCCCCAAGCTCCTGGTCTCACTGTAAGCTGAGGTTACCAATCAGCAGAGGTGGAAACAGAGTGTGAATGGGGCATGCGGGAAGTTCAGGTCCCACTGCTCACTGGCCACCATGTTCTTTAGGTGCTGGCTTTTGCCAATGGAGATGCATAAGCAGAATTAGCTGGGCTTGGAGTTGGGGTGCAGAAATTTAATGCCCCAGAAGGCTGAAGCTTGCACGGTGCTTCTCCTTTCTCACTGTCAGGCTATTGGCGAGGCTGGACTGCAATGGTCAGGCTCCCCAGCCAGGGGCCATCCAGGCACAAGCTCACCTGTGCATGCATGAAATGACCATGATTCCAGCCGGGTCAAAGCAGATATCTGATGCAAGAGTCCGGGAACAGCATTGGGTGGAACCTCCACACACTGACTTCATCCCCTAAAGCTGGTAGCCTAGGCTATATGGGAATCAGATCTAAGTGGTCATCTGGGTGACTTTGCATTGGCTGAGAGCTCAGCCAAGATAACCTCAGAAGTGTCATCCAACACCTGGATTTGTGATGCTTTCAGAGTGAGTGACCCAGGGCATTTCTGTTCCATACACACACACACACACTGAGGCTTGTGCTGCCACATTCCTGCCAACTGCATCATCAGCCACTCAAAGGCAGGTGAGACCAGACCAGCTGTGTGCCAGGTCCACCTGGCTCTGACCTAGAATACCAACCCCACCACAGGTATCTGTAGAATCTTGAGCAAGACCCATCAGCTCAGGCAGGCCAAGGCTTGGTCATTGGTGCAATAATAGGTTGGGCTCACTGTCTCCAAAGCCCTCCTCACTCTGGCATTTAAAACAAGGCATGGGGTAGGGGGTGGCAAATGAAGAACCTGCCATCTTGGCTCAGCCACAGATAAGCCAGGCCCAGGGTTCTGAAGGCCAGAGAGGGCTTTGAACCTGGACCTGAGGTAAGGCAGCCAAGGCTGACTGACAGAAGGTGGCTGGGGGCCCGGCTCCAAGAGATAAGCTGGCTCCAGCTTTCAGGTCAGAGATACCTTCCCAGGCAACACCAAACAATAGCTGTCAGAAATGTCCTATATAAGGAAGCTCTGACTTAGTAGTAAGTATGTGTCACAAGGCTTTGTGAGACAAATACGGGCGATACATACAATGGAAGGGACATGGGGCACCTCAGGAAACTCCTGACTTTTCCCCATCAACTGCAGGGCCAAAGCCAGATTCCGTGATGAGTCCCATACTCTGCACAACCTGGCTCTGCCTACAGCCTCTGGTCTCCACCTCCCACAGTAGCCACCCTGCAGGTCTGGCCATGCTGACGTGCCAGAGCACCCTTCCATGACTCAGCGTGTCCTCTGCAGTCACATCCTGCATCTCTTGTTTCGTGGGGCATCTGTGTCCCTGACAAGGTTTCCCGATGCTCCAGAGTGAGGGTCTGGCCTGAGGCATTTCAGGGCCTCCCAGGAATGGGGCAGCAACTCAGAAACATCTGTGGGATTGAATCTGGCTGTGTGGACTCTACTCAAAGTGAGTTGAAACCTGCAGGGTCCTCAGGAGAGATCCTGCCCCTGCCCCTACCCTCCAGAGAGCAGCTTATGCTCTCTCTCTATCTGGATGGGAAGTTCATTCATTCTCTCAAATGACGAAACTGTGGCTTAGGGCAGAACAAGCCAGGCAGACCACCCCTGCCCTGTGTCTCCTGTGTTGAACGGCACTAGGAATTATGTATGAAATCGAAGAGCAATAAGATACCACTTCCGTGTTCAGGATGTTAGTGCATCAGACACACATTCCTGAAAAAGCCCAAGGGAAATGAATCCCATTTGGTTCACGTACCCTTTCTTAAGCATTAATGGGATAAAGGAATATATTACGGGGCAAAAAAAAAACACACAAGTCCTAAAAAATGCTCTTTCTAATCATAGGTACCAATGTTACTTGAAATTAATCATACAAACCACAGACTGTTCCATTTGGGAATCCCCGCCCTTCACTCCGCCCCAACTCTACCCATTTCCTGCGCTGGAGGCTGTTGGGCAGGAAGCCTTAGAGGACAGGGACCCTGCCTATCTGGTCCTCACTGTTCCCTGTTGTCTCGGAGAAGTCCAAGAAACTGTTTTTGAAGGACAGACGAGTGGATGAAGCTGTGATGGGCCCTAAGCAAACACCATCTGACCAAATGCCACTGAAGGGAGGGGGACAGGAGGGGCAGGACTATGGATGAGCAGTGGCAGTACCATCTCACCTGAGCAATCAGATAGGACAGTGTCAGTTAGGGGTGTAGGTTCTGGGGACCCTCGGCCTCCTGCCAGTCCTGGCTGCTCTGCTTGGGAGCTGTGTGGCCTTGGGCAAGTTACTTACTTCTCAAGTCCTCAGTTTCCTCATCTATAAAGAGAGCATAGAGATATACCACCTTCTAAGGCTGCAGGGAGGAAGGAGGTAATCCCTACAAAGAGCTGACAGCAGCTTCTGACCATGGTCAAGGCTCCATCTCAAAGCTCTCACCCCCCAAAAGTCCTGTGAAGTAGGACTTGACAAGTGTCATTAGCCAACCCAAGGTGAATGCCTCCTGGTCCCCCAGCACATAAGCTACCCACGTGGGCCACCACAGTCTGAATACTCAGGATAAAGTCTATGCTCCAAAATGGGCAGTTGGATTCATGGAAAATTTTGACTTCAAAATCTTTGCATTTCTCTCACCTCGAAAAGATCTACAATGACGTGCGTAACATTTATAAACAGAAAAATATGATTTACAAGAAAAAGCAAGGCTCTGTCTGAAATGAGTGGGAAAAAAGAGCCCTGACAGAGATGGGAAAAGTGGATTTGTCTTCAAATGGTCAGTCCATGTGTGTGCACACTAAATGGAGAGAGGCTTCTTTAGCCGGAGATGAACACAGTTAAGACTGATAAGCAAACATGGTTTGAGTGTGCATGGGAAGTCATTTTGCACACGTGCAAAGGATCTCCTGGGTGTAGAAATCTCTCTCCTTTGCATTTCATTCCTGTGAGTCAAGAATCATTGGTTAAAATGAGCATGTTGCTGGGAGAGGTGGCTCAGTTGTAAGCTCATCACACATCAGTGTGAATTAGTGTCTCAGTCAGTTTGCAGGCTCAAAGCTGTGCTCTGTGCAAAGAAGAGGGATGTTCCAGGAAATGGGCTGGGAGGGGCTCTTCCCATCTTGCCCAGGGCTGCCCCCCTGCCCCACGCCTCACCACGTTGCCTTACCTCTGAAACAGGCTGCTGAACTGGAGAATGTGAGCGGAAGCCAGGACCCCCAGCACGTCGTCCATGTCCATCTTCACCTCGCTCATGTAGAGGTTCTTCAGGGCCGTGGCGAAGGCTGGGAAGGCAGCATCCGAGAGAGCCGTCAGCAGGGGGCTCTGCAGCCGGGGTCCCTCACTCCCAGGCGCCCCCTCCTGGGTGCTGCATGCCCACCAGCTGGGCGGGCAGAGATGCCCTCAAGAGAAAATGCACCCGCTCTGACCTGGGCACAAACACCTCCCACCCCCCACCTCGGCTCCTCCCCAAAAGAGTTGAGGATAAAGCCAAAGAAAACCGACCTCCTGCTGAAAGCATGCTCCTGTAGGCCTGCCTAGAGTCCGTCCTTGGGGCTTCCCTCCCTACCTGGGGCCCGCAGCCTGTGCAGAGGTGACTGCCCAAACATGTGTGGGATGCTGTGTGCATGCAGGCGCG